ATGCAGGACACAGCCCATATGCCCCCCACCCCTCCATGGTCCCCATCAATATACGAGAGTAAGACTTCATTTTGAGCTATTATACAATCAGCTCTCTATACACAACAACACACACAAATCAGGACAAAAATATTTTTAAAAATAAAATTAAAACGTTATCATCGTTTGATTTTTAGTATACAATTTTTTTTTCCAGTTCCAAGATGGCAAGCCCCCTTCCCAAAAGGAGTACTTCTGGGGGCAGGGGGAGGGACTTCCCATGGCAAGGGTTAGGGGGCTGGACTTCCAGTCCCAAGATGGCGACCAGGGGCGGGACTACCCTTGCTGCCCTTGACAGCTTGCTAAAACTCAGTATGTGGCTCCCCACCTGAAATAGCTGCCTGCCCCTGGCCAGCAATGTCAGTAATTCTAGACAAGGAGCTTTCTCCAAAGACATTTTTGTCTTATTTTCCCATTCAGTCTTCAAGCTGTATGTGTATATTGTGCATATTGTGATGACTTCTTACCCTGAGATTATGCATATGACTGTCATGTTAAGAGTTCTTAATTCAGTTTTGTATTCTTGGGATGTAGAAACACTTACATCCTTGCATATGACTTCTTCCTAGATTAGAAAATGTTACTTGCATTTTCTCAGCTATTCTTCTATCTAAGAAGTGAAAAATACCTTCTAAGTGACAGTCTCCTGTTAATGAATTCTCTCTGCAAAGGGCTTTCCCTCTGAAATGTAACAAACAGTTTTTGCGGGGATGAGCCTCTAATGTATATACCACCACTTCCTTGGCTGATCAACATGCATAACTATGCCAGGTGCATATTTTGGAGATCAGATGCATCTCTGGCATGTAAATAGTTATCATCTGGTTTGGGAATTTCTGAAAGACTGGAAAAAAATTACTTTCCTGGCTTTACAATTTTTTCATGGAAATTTATGGGTCTGGCCAGCACTGAACAGTCTTAAGACCTGGATGGATAGCTCTGCCCATGTTAAAAAATTAGGTGTTTGATCCTCTAGACATGCTATCATCCAACTAAATTTTTGTACAGTGATGTGGTACCTGTTGTAGATGTAATACACCTCCACCCTTTCCTTTAGGAGTATCTTCTTTTCTAACAGCAGTCTTTTTTTTTGTGCAGTTGAGAACTGTGACGCAAACAAAAGGTCTGAAGCCAGTTAGGCTTCTCTTCCATCAGCAGTGGCTGTTTTGGTGGTTATAAAGGATGGAAATATTCCTCACTAGTTTTTCTGATTTGGTTTCTGTGATGAACAGTGACTCATCAGCAAATTCTGGTGTTTTCAGTAACCAATCGGGTACTGTTGTATTCTCCCTTAAACGGCTAATGCTGTTATCATTAGTTGCAAGTACTTTCACGGGGAGGAAGGGAAGAGAATCTGTGGGGCAACACCTCTGTTAACATCTTCTCAATTCCAGGCTTCTGGGTCACTGGGAGGAGGCTGCACATGATCTTGCTTTGGCGTGTAAACTGGATTATGATGAAGAGGCTAGTGCCATGTTAAAGGAGGTGCAGCCCAGAGTAAGTAGAGTCTGATCAAGGAGTGAATCTATTGGCATCTCTATGGTGACCTTAATCTTGCATGGCGCACTGTAAACTTTCTAGAAAAATGTCCAGTAGAACTACACCAGTGTCTTTGCAGCCTCTGATGTTTCCAGACTAGATTATAAAGTCCTTCTGTGACTCCAGCTACTTTAGTTTCTTCCTCCCCATGGACAGTTGTAGGAAACAGGATGTCTGAAAGTTTCCTGTATATAATAACATTACAAACCCACCTGTGTATCTCTCTTGTTCTTTGGAGTTCTGATCTAAGATAGTTTCATAACCTTGGGTCCAAATACTCAGTGCTTCAAAATGCTTTAGTGAGCACTAAGTCCTTGAGATTTAGTAGCACTGGGGATTTATTCTGCACTTGTGGAAATTAAGAGGCAATATTCTCAATATAGTTATAATGATAAATGCTTCTGCTGGTTTCCCGCAAGGGGGCAGCATATGCTTTCCTTTTAAAAGCAGTTATAATCTTTCATGGTAGGCAGGTACTTACACTACAGAGAAATTCCTGTACTCAGCAGCATGGCTTAATCTGTATACCATACCCCTATAAAAGGCATTTTCTACTGATACAACTTCTTAACCATTTTACAAGCTTAAACTGTCCCATGAATGAGCCTGCTGATCTCCTGCGATCTGTTGTTTGTTGCAAACCAAAGTACGGTCATCTCCATATTCATATCAGATAAGTATATAATTTACTTAATGACGTAACACAATGCTGGTCTCAGTTTTTTATCAGCAGCTGATATGTTATGTGCAGACTGATCAAATGTTTAAATTGTTTAAATGCATAGCATTTCTCAGCCCCTGTCTTTTGGTGATTGTTCTCCATTTAACTGCATAATAATTGAAAAAACTGACTAGCAGCTGTCAATTTCAAGGCTGCAGCCATAAAACCCAAGTTGCTGCTTGGCTTTGAAAGTGGCTTAGCTGCTTATTTACTATACAAGGACTTAAGTGGTTACTTTGCCACTCACAACAAGAAAGTTTTGTGTTGGGGTGTAATGACACACACAGCTGAGAGCACAGTAAGTCATCTACTGTATTTACTTTTTACTTGAATAGGCTTTTTTCCCCCCCAGTCAGCATGGCGGGATGGGGGGGAAGCCCGTCTTACAATCACATACAAGGAAAGCGCACTGTCTATCATTAAATTGCTGCCAAAAGCAGCATGTGTTCAGTAATGGAAACCAACTGTGAAGCTGATATAAATGCAGCCAACAATGAAGACAGCTATAAAATGCATGACCTGTGGGACAAAAGTTCCTGATAGGAACGTTTTTGTTGTTGTTGTTGTTTGTTTGTTTTGTTGTTTTTTTGGGTTTTTTGTTTGTTTGTTTTGTTTTTTGTTGTTGTTGGGGTTTTTTTTTACGCATGGTCCTTATAAAATGGTGCGGGGAGGTAGTTTCTTCCCCAGGAGAGAGAAGCACTGGGCTTGGAAGTACTGCAATACCAGGCTGGCACTTTGGTACCAAAAATGGTAATGGGAACCCTTTTTTAAAAAACAAAATTTTCATTCAGGCCAAATCCAGTTAAATCGGTTTTGAATTCCATCCACTGTGCAGAGCTCAGTTGTTCAGGTCCGTGTGATGTTACCACCAGCAAGTTTCTTCCCTCCTAGACTCTAGCCTGGGGTTTCGGATGCTCCCAGATCCATGGCAGGCATCTTGCATGCAAGCCCATAGGTCTTGGGGTTCAGATGCCCATGATTCATGCTTGCTGTTATCCAAAAGGATGAAGCTAAGGGGAAATCCCACGTCTCCATAAAATAAGCATGTAGCTGAGATCCTCACACTGGGAGGCTGTAGTACACTCTCATACTGGGGCTTGCCTGCATTGCATTGGGCAAGTCTCCACCCTCAACTACACAAAGACACAAGGAACTACACTTGATAACTTGATCTGACCCAAAAGGGGTCAAACTATCTGTGTTAAAAGGCATTCTTAAAGGATAAGACACATGCATAATATGTTCAGTTTAAATACATAGCCTTTTTCAGTTCTGGGGCTATGGACTTAAAAGAACTCTTGTGTAAACAATGTTGGTTAAGTTCATAGTGTTGTCAGTGCCATGTTATTGGCATCCTTTTTAAAGCTTTTCAGTAGTCAGCTGAAATAAAGCAAGCTAGTCAGTTCAGGGGCTGATAGTATATATCTGTGTACTTAATCAGCTTTTCTTTGGGGCCCTGGTACTATTGAGGGGGGTATGGGTAGACATTTGGAAGTGTTTAGACATGGTTTTCAAAGGTGGTAATGTGAAAGCCCAGAAGCCATCCATGTTTGTGTGTTAACCTTCTTGGAGCTAGCTCAGTGGCTAAATTTATCAATATCAGTATAAAATAAGCATTTCCAGTGTGTCCTTTGTAATATGCGTGGCGATATTCATTGTTCCTTTTCTCAGGCTCAGAAAATTGCTGAGCACCGGAGGAAGTATGAGCGAAAGCGAGAAGAAAAAGAAATCAAGGAAAGGATGGAGCGAGTAAAGAAGGCACGAGAAGAACATGAGAGAGCACAGAGGGTGGGCTTTTTATTTGACTGTTAAAAATAGTGCTGTGCGTGATCAATAATATGGTGTTTTCAAGGTTAACATTTAGGGGAAAAATTCTGCTATATATTTCCTTTTTGTACTTTTTTGTAACATAGTATAGGGGATGTGTGACCCTCCTTGACTAGCTGATAAATTGGGAGGAGAATTTTGCATCACTATTAACTTTTATCACTTTGTATATAAACAAGTTTTATCACATCTTGTAATTTGTACCTCCCTTGTTTCGAGGTTGTACACCAGAATTACCACTTTTTAGAGAAAGCTGTACCCCTTATGGTTGCAAAGAACCTTGTGTTTGGACTATCCTCCCATGTGCCCCCTTCCTGTAACAACCTGAAGCCTTTTCAGTTTTTGGTTTGAGCTGAAGTGTATGATTTCTGTCCATATGCAGAGAGCTTGTTTCACTGAACATGAGTGACTTATTCTGGCATGTTTTCCTCTCACCAATTTTTCTTTCTGCCTCAATACGTACCATCACCTGGCTTTGTGTGTATCCAGGTACTTACATGGTTATTGGTGCCATGGTTGAAGTGCCTGAAATGGCCACTTGCACTATGTTTGCAAAACTGACTGCAGTATCACTACTTTTTCCAGCATATGACATGCTTTTATTTGTAGGAGGAAGAAGCCCGGCGACAGGCAGGAGGAGCTCAATTTGGTGGCTTCCCAGGTATTCCTTCTTCCCTCCCCTCCCTCCTTCCCGCATTAATAGTTAGCAGAAAGTTTCTGGCTTTCTCGGGAAAGGTGGCTTTGCTTATGCTCGTGGCCAGGGAGAGTTGCTACTGGATGGGGTTGACTTGGTCTCTTCTTGTGCTTAAATGTAGATAACTAGAAACCATTTTTCCTTCCCCCATTAAATGTATCCTTATTCTTCGTATGTTGCAGGTGGCTTTCCTGGAGGAATGCCTGGAGGTATGCCTGGGATGGCAGGAATGCCTGGTCTCAATGAGATTCTCAGTGACCCAGAGGTTCTCGCAGCTATGCAGGTGAGAGTTGGAAGCCACTGAACTTGAAAGTCTTTCTTTCATTTTATGCATGTTCATGAATGCTGGGATGAGAGATATGATCTTTCTCAGTCTAATCCTTTTAAAGGGAAACAAACCAAAAAGCCAAATATTGAAACCCTGCCAATGAACATAAAGGTCTTTCTCTAGCTGGGTGAGGCTTGCTTTCTTTTAACATCCCATTTTAGCATAGTGTGTTATAAGCCAAACTAAAAGTATAAACTGCATAGGGAACTCTGTTTTCTGGGAGCTTTTTGTCAGTCACATAGGCCATTAATACACATACCATTTTGTGCTACAAGGCACTGGAGATCCAGCGCATCTGCATGCAAGCTGACGCACCCTGCGCTGCATCGCATGCGTTTGTATAAACAGGGAAATGTGCATCAGTGCTGGGAAAATGGCAGTGGTGTGCTTTTGAACTAAAAGACCTTCAATGTGTGTTAGTTCAAAAGTGCGCTGCCACCATTTTCTCAGTGCTGGTGTGCATTTTACTATTTATACAAATGCATGTGACACGGCGCTGGGCACTTTCGAAAGCACCCGGTCCTGTGTCACACATCTAAAAATGCCTATGGAGTGAAGTTATCTTAAAAGGCTCTTAGAAGATCTGAGCATACTGTACATGACTTTACAACTTATTCTCTGAACATGCACACACAGATCTTATTAGCAAAATTTATATATAAGCTCAGGTCAGCTCTTTTTTCCTTGTACTGTTGTGACATCTTAGGTGGCTAGCTCTATAGAATTTTTTTGCTTTTCTTTGTGCTGTGGTTTTTGCCTCTTGCAAAACTTTAATCAACAAGATGCATCAGTGAATTGATCTGGAAAATCCTGTTATCTCTCTGAAAGTCTACTTTCCCATTTTAAGCCTATTTTTACCTTGTTAAATCAGTTAGTGTTAGAGTAGAGAAGCCTTTCACCAGTTTGCCCCAGGGCTTTTGTCAGCCTTTTTTAAGTTATGGGTGGAGCAGAAACAATGCTGATGGGAAGTCTATAAAAATATTTTTCACTTCTCTTTGTTTAATCATTTCAGAATTGTGTGTGTTAATAATGAATCACTAGTACATTGGCACACTGAACCCCATGCCTGCCATCATATTGACATGTATCACATACCCATCTGCGGAGGTTCTCTTTACAAGCTAATAACATATTACTCACATAATGGATATTATTTGAGGGTGCACATTGTTTTGGTAACAAAGAACGAAGAGAGACAATTTTTTCCAGAATCTTAACTGTGTGGCTAAATGCTGGCCCCAGGCAGGAGGGGCAGAGCCCATTCTACATAATCACTCAGTCTCTAGCTGCAGCTTCAGAACTATGTATCTAATGCTTGACAGCTATAACTGGGTTAAAAATAACTGAAGGATACACTCTGCCCCTCCTTTCTGTGCTAGAAGAACACAGCCCATAGCAGCCATTACGTGATTCAATTTCAGTGCAGAAAACGTAGCTTCCTTAAGGGTTCAAGATGCCCCACCCTAATTTTAGAGGACTGATTTTTGTGGGGAAATGGTGCATATGATAGATGAGTAAATATGGCATAGAAAGACTCCTGTGACTGAATCCTAGCCTTCACTTAAATCATGTCATAGCTCATTCTGTTTTTGGAGCTGATTTATGGTTGTGTATAGAGGTGACTTGAAAAGTAGCCAAGATGGCTGCTTTTGTATACATTTACTGGCTACCCCTGCTAAGTACAGTGATTCTCAACCAGGATGCTGTACCACCCTGGGATGCCTTGAGATCCTGTCAGGGGTGCCACATGATGTTAGCACTGTTAGATGTGCAAACATGATTCTCAAGATAAACTGAGATTTCAAATAGGAATCCATAGCCTCAAAAACATTCCAACCTACTGTGGTCTTTCTGAGTTCTTTGAAACAAAAATAATTGCTCTGTTTTTCTGTAGTCAAAAATCAAATGCAACCTAAGAGTTGACATTTTCCAAAGGGTGCCTTAAGTCTGTCAGAAGGTCTTGGAGCCTAAAAAGATTGAGAACCTCTGTCTTAGCATTTTACAAGCAGTCTGAACTCCTGTTTGAAGAAGCTGCCTCCCTTTTAAGTGAACAGCTTTTTTTTTTTCTCATCCCTAAAATGCTACCCTCTCTAAAATACCACCTGGTCAGTTCAATTTCTTTGAATTGTTTTAAGCATTGTAAGCATTTTACATAGCAAAAATCAAAACATTAACTTTTATTATTGTGTTCTCTTCAAGGCCAGTAACCTTGTTTGTTTTTTTTTAATCTAGTATTATACCACCTTGTAACTGTTTCTGATACAGTTTAGATGAGCATTGTTATGGGGAAAGGAGACAAATGGCTTTCCTAACTCCTGTTTTCAAAGTCTATCTCTTCATGGCTTGCTTCTTCCTGCTTTGGGTTCTGTATTTTTATATGGTTGTATACATGTTACTGGCTTTATTTGGGCATCATAATTTCCCATTTTTAAAGGCATTTACCTCTTGGCATGTGTAAGGTGACTTATCACTGCTTGTAAACTGGCAGCTGTTTCCAATATGGTTATGTCTCAGAACCATGTGCCCAAACATAGTAATCCACAGAAGTGCATACCTTGGAACAGGCTTTAGGGTTTTGTTTTCCTCAACAAATATTTCCTCCTAGTGGAGTTGTCAGAGTATCCCAGTCTAAAAATTCTGATGTTGACTTCATCTCAACCTAACTTGTTATCTCTGTAATATGTTATGTCCTGTATACTGGGGACTTCCCTTCTGAACTGTCACAGTGTGATAGGTTGACATGTAAGAAAGAAGCACTACGACAAAAAAAATGTTTATTATTGCATTAGTATGTTTCAGCCTAACAATCTTCAGTGTTGCACAGTCTGCATATAATGAACAAATGAGTGTAACCTAAGTTTTGAGTGAAATCTTTTGATTTGTAGGATTGTTAGATGATCTTAATGGGCACAAAGGTGAAGAATAAAAATATTGTATATTAAGAATATACAAAAATATTGTATATAAAGACCATTGGACATGAACTTGACCAGTGCACAGTACACTTTGGGCATGCACATTCTACTTGGACCTTTACAGACATCCCACTTTTGTGTTTGAGAACCTGTTCTTGCACTTGGTCATTCAGCAAATTTAAAATATTTAGCACTGTTTTCCTTGTGGTCAAAAGGCAGTTTTTTAGGTTTGAACTTGATGTGTATGTGCCAGTATTTTAGTTCTATTCAAGAGGGAAGAAAATGGATCTAGTTTCCATTTGTGCATATCCAGCATCTTGGTTTTCTCATACCTTGCTAGTACATTTTTTCTGGGGAGAGACAAAACATCTGAAATTTCAGTCAAAAGAAATCTAAAACAACAGGCTGTCTTCACTAGATAATTTTGTTTTCCCTCTCCAGAGAATTGTTGGATGTCCCTAACATGTTTGTAAAATTTATATTGGCTTTTAAAATGCTTCAAATGATGTACACAAATACAATGATGTTCAAGTACAGTTTTGAATTGGACTAGCTATTGGCTAAGCACAGTTTATACTATGATGTTTTCTGCTAGTGTGGAGGCAGGGTGCTGGCATGGTCGCACAGAAAGCTCAAGTAGTCTTCCCAAAATACTTCGATAACCTTTGAAAAAGTTTCGGAATTATGGGATGGAAAGCTCAAGGGTATTGCAGCTGAAACTGTTTAAAAGTTAGAAAAGACATGGCAAAAATGGAATGATTACAATAATTTAGGCTTGATGCAATGAACCATTTGTGTTTAAGAGAATATTCTCACCAGAAAAGTTAATACCAATACAGCTTTTTGGCTTAAGTTTTGGAAGCTTTACAGCAAGACTTGCCTTTCCAACCTCAGCTATAGTGTTGATAGCCACGTAAGCTGTAGTATGCGCACACATGGATTCATTGGCTCATTCAAAAGCTCTTAGATAAACAGTACAAAGGGCAAAGGCATTTTGTATCAGCAGTACAAAAAAAAAAGTTTTATTTATGACTCCTTTTAATTAAGTAGTGAAAATAAAATTGGTGTTTCATTGCCCATTCTTAAACATGTATGTAATTCAAAAAGGATGTGGAAAAGCTTGAGAGAGTCCGGAGAAGAGCCACGCGCATGATCGGAGGTCAGGAAAACAGACCTTACAATGACAGGCTGAGAGCTGTGAGGCTCTTTAGCCTGGAAAAGCACAGGCTCAGAGGCAATCTGATGGCCACCTATAAATTCATCGGGATGACCACCAGTATCTGGTGGAACGTTTGTTCACCAGAGTGCCCCAGGGGATGATGAGGTCGAATGGTGATAAACTACTGCAAGACCGTTTCAGGCTGGACATGAGGAAGGATTTCTTTACTGTCCAAGCCCCCAAGGTCTGTGGAACAGCCTGCCATCAGAGGTGGTTCAAGCACCTGCATTGAACACCTTCAAGAGAAATTTGGATGCTTATCATACTGGGATCCTATGACCCCAGCTGACTTCCTGCCCCTTGGGCAGGGGACTGGACTCGATCTTCCAAGGTCCCTTCCAGCCCTAATGTCTATGAAATCTGTGAAATCTTAGGCTGCGTCCAGACGAGTGCCGAAGGTGTGCCACTACTTCTTGTCCCCAGGGAACTACATGTCCATGCTCATCTGGCCACGGCCTTAGTGAGCATGCTTTATGGAAGTTAACTTTTCTCACTCCTCTTAGGTCAAAACATTCCATACTTAAAGTCAACTCAGAGGTGAAAATCCTAGAAATCAAACAAGCCAGGCAATCTAGGTTTTGTACTAGTTGGTCTAAAACCAATTTTAAATTTGGGAATTTAGTTCTGAGTCTTTGATTAAACAAAGTATGAAACTTTGCTTTGGAGGGCCTTTCTGCAGTTTATGCTCGGTCATGGTGGTTATCAACCTTGATAGGTTGTGGGCTTGAATGACCCAGCTTGAGCTGAGTAAGGTGTGCTCTCGTGGCTGCTGTTTCTCCCCGTGGTGGCAAGGGGAGAACTTCTACAGTTGCTACTTCTCCATGCTGCCAAAAACACCACTAAAGCCATGAACCAGATGAAGTGGGTTTATGGGCTAGATCCAGCTTGCAGGCCATAGGTTGCTGACCCCTTCTCTACAGAATGGGTTGGTTTGGTGGTGCTTCCTGTTCAGAAACGGCAGATTTAAAGAGGTTGTGAAATTGGGCACTAACTGTCTTCTTCCCCTTACAGTGGGGTCCTTCAACCTCATTTTTGTTGGAATATGCAGACATTAGATTGCATCTTTACTTTGACTTCTTCACTGTGCTTAGTTTTATGCTCTAGCATTATTGCATGAAATCTTAAAAATAGATGGTTTTCATTATATAGGCAGCATTTAAGGTCTAAAATCTGCTACCGTGCTCACTTAGCTGCACTGGTACCTTCAGGACACTCTCTCTTACGGAAGTTTCTGCATGGTATTTTTATTAAGTCTTTGAAGTAATGTTTAGGTGTGCTTTATGTTTGTCTTTAGTCTCAATAGATTTACTTTTTAATGCTAAAGTAAAATTTTAAGGCAGTTTTAAGATTTGCCAGTACACATTTTAAAATGCAAAGGAATCAGTAGTTTAACATGTGTTTGGAAGAGATTTGCTTTTCCTGTGTTGTGTGGCTTACATCCTTCCTCCCCTCCCTCATGTTTTGCTTTGTGTAATACCATAGTTTAACCTAAACTATTCATGGAAAGTGATATAATTCTCTATGCTTAAATATCTCCATCCCATTTCCTCTGCAGTTTTATCACGATTCACTTGTTCCCAATATACTAAATAACATGCCAGTATCCACAACACTACCTGCCAATATCTTTTTGCACATTGTTGTCATGCTAATTTGGTAACAACTGAAGATTACCTGATGAATTGCAAAATGTAGTACGGCAATACCTGGGTTTTCTTTAGAGATCTCATCCATGACTTGAACTGGCCTTGCTCTGCTCATCTTTAGGCGTCAATCAAGTTGTGTCCAGCACTGCATTGCCTTCAGCTTCAATCTCTAGTACTGTCAGAAGACTTAACTCTTTAGGCCTTGTAGTAATAGAGTAAAATTTTAATAAATCTGTTCTTTTTGTTTTGTAGGATCCAGAAGTTATGGTTGCATTCCAAGATGTTGCCCAGAACCCAGCTAATATGTCAAAGTACCAAAATAATCCCAAGGTCATGAATCTCATTGGCAAACTGTCAGCCAAATTTGGAAGTAAACCATAAAATCTCTTATACTAAAACCGTATCTAAATGAGAAAAAGGATTGATTACTTACCAGAAATTGCAATAACACAAACGATTGTACCTCTCATCTTCTCTAGAGAGAAGTGGGGTGTTTTAAAGAGAATTACTCTCTTGTCTCCAAGCATCACATGTATTGCAATGATTGGTTTACAGTTGCTCAAATTTATATAAAAATAAAATACTTTCAATTACCTCTGCCCAAGAGTTGCAGCAAGTATTAAAAGCCATCTCCTTCAAATGAAGACTTACAAGAAATTGTAATCTTCCAGTAGATAGTTTAATTCAACCAAAACTGTTAACCTGGCTATCCAATGAGTAAAGAAAGAGGAACTTTAACTTTGGAGTCTGTATTATTCCTTTGGGACAAAAAGTTGGTCTAATCATAGGTAGGTATGGTGGGACAAGTGTAAAGTGTTAACTGGATGAAGGAACTATCTACAGTTATTGTTGCACAGATCTTTTTATTTCCTGTACGTGTGGATGGGTGATCAGCTGTATATAACTCTTCTAAATCAAAACCAACCAGGGTGACCAGTATAACTTTGGGTTATACACTGGAACTTCTGGCAGTGCTGAAAATGGCAGACCTTACCCACAACATCCATGCAGCAGAAGAAAAATCTATGTTTTTGAATGGTCTGGTATGCCCAGATTGTGGCTGCTACCAAGACTTGGTTACTTGCTCTACTCCTGTCAAGCGCACTTACGTAGTGCTTTATATTGTCCAAGCAGGTAAGGGAGAGCACCACCTGCTCCTTTCTGTTCCTGATTGGCAGATCATCAGTGGGTGCACTTGCTTTCTTTGAGGCATTTCTTTGGATTACATCCACTTGAAAATTGGAGGGAAGGAAACTTGTTCCCACTGCAGCCTGTGGCCCATTAAATGTGCAAGTCATTAAGGGGACACAAATGTAGAACTGTTTTGTTTATCAGTTATGGGGAAAGTAAACCCAATAATAGAGCAACTCTGGGTCTGAGTGCATTTGACTCCTAATATGCCTACAGAATTAAACTGAATCTCTTGGCCAAAGTTTTCAGCTTTTTTCTTTTTTCAGTCCTCTTGTCAGTTAAAGTAGCTTTTCTTTTCCACTACCTAGTCTTCCATCTTTAATTTTGTCTTTTTTTTTTTTAAATATAATGCTGTTCCAGTGGTCCCCATGTAGATTCATGGTTTTGGGGCTTGGGATAAGGAAAAGGTGGAGTAGTTGGCACAAAGAGGGCATATTTTTTAACATTTTGTGAATTTACAGCATGGGTATTCTTGGAACAGTGTGTCTTTGCTGATGTGTTCAGTGGATTTGTGACTAACACAATAAAGACATTTGCTGCTTCTGCTTTGTGTTTTGTCTTTACTAAACATTACCTCCTCCTTCTTGAATTGGGAAATTTAATGTAAGTCGCTCTGTGTTGTTTAAGTCTTCTGCAAGTTCTGTCCTTTGCTGTTGTAATTTTGTGTCTGAAGCCATAATTGATGTTTTATTAAATTTTTAATCTGGACTTGCTTAGGAACTTAAAAAATACCTGCAAAAATAACCCCCCAAACGCTTCTTTAAAATACTGCAGAGTGAAAATGTGATTTTTTTTTTTTTCTTTTGCTTAAGAAATAAAATTCTGAATACTTTTGCCTTTTAAAAATAAAATAAGGTTTTGAGAAATTGTTTCTTGGCTTTGTGTAACTTGTAGTAAACTAATATTGTTAAACTGAAACACTTTTATACAGGACACAATTCTTAACCAAACAATATCCAGTTGTGTGCATCAGTAAGGACCAACTGCCTAACTAAGTATTTATCTTCCCTGCAAAGTTAAATCAAGTTGTGCAGTTCTTCATAGGTAGGATCTAGGGCAGAATTGTTCCCTGGCTTGGGCTAGCTGGTGGGAGACTGACACCAGCATTCTTGTGGAAATGTTAATAGGGCCCAAATGCCAGCTCTGTACCACTCATCTGTTTGACATCCCTGAATTAAATGACTTCATATTGTAGATCAGCAGCTGGCAACTGTAGTGGGCAAACTGAGTTATACTAAGACTCAATCGGAGTCTAGGCCTTCCCAGAGCTAAGCAATAAAATTGTACAAAGTGCCTTTATAGGGCAGTGGAAAAAGTGAGTGCTGTGATTTGGTATTGTGGGTGAACTAGGTACAAGTTTTCCTAAAAGGAAATTAAATAAAAAACTGAGTAGGATTGGAGTACCTTATCTAAAAACATAAAAGCGTGGAACCTGAGGATTGGACAGTTTGGGATGAGAAAGTTACAGAAGTAATGAACAAACAAAGGAATATAGAGTGTGTTGTTACTCTGGGGAAACAGGCAGCCATAGATTCCACTTGAATATCTGGAAAGCCAGAAACAAACATCCCACACACACAGTGGACCCAAGCCCAGTACCACCAAGGGTTGCTGCTCTAGCATTTAAAGGAGCCACTTGCCAGGTTCCATTACAGGGAGGAAACCTGTAATAGTGCTGAGGGGTTATTATTAAAGTTAACTTGATACCAAAACGTTGCTGATAGTGTTGGTGGTGCCTTTTTTGCTGGGGGTGCACATACACCAGCATGCACCCCCTACGTGTTGCCAGTGCCATACAGGCAACTACTTCCTTCTTCCTGAGCAAAAGGAAGAGAACAAGGAACTCTGCTGCTGGAGATGCACAGTGACTTTGCCAGGAATTTGAACCACTTATACTTTGCCATCAGTTGAACCACTTGCAGAGCAGAAGGTGCTGGAGAAGACCAGCAGAGGCAGGCTTCAGTTAAGAATGTTGGAAGTAGATGAAGTGACAGGTGCAGTGTCCAGGATTGCCAGCAGCAGAGGGATAAAAGCATACTGAATGATTGCCTATAGGTCCCAACACAACTGAAGTCTTGGCCCTGGTACAAGTCTGGACTCTTACTGTGGCCTTCCCTCTCTGTTACTAAGTCCAGCAGCTGATGTTGGCTGGTAGCCAATTGAGGGATAGGGCATGTGACCAGCAGCACCCTGTGCACTCTCCTTCCCTGCATGCATGGTATGCTGATGAAATGCATGAACAGGAGATGTTACAAAGCTGCAGAAAAACTTATCTAATCTTGGTGATGCAACCACATGCTCCTTGGTGGGCAACCTAATAAGTGCCCATGTGATGATGATACAAAACCCATTTAGGAATTTAAGAGTGGAAGGAGGGCAGGGGAAATCCTGCACCATCCTGTCATGTGTCCAAAGTAGGCTATACAGGCTTCTAAATTTAAACAACTGAGTGTAAAAGCTGGTATTTCCTTGCCAGCCTCCACTGCCACAACCCTGACAGTTGACTGTTTGATGGCAAACTGACCAACCTGTAGTAGTCTGGGTATCTCCACTTCCAAATGGCAATAACTACACATTTCTGGGATTTTTATGGTATGTCTCATTGTAGCCAGCTGCTATAGTTCCAGGAAAGGATAGCTTTTCCCATGCAAAAATTTTGGTCCTGTTGTTAATCCTAGATCTGCCTGACTGTAATCCTACACCTCAGCACTTGTGATCCTGCTCCAGAGCTGCCAGTCAGTACAGGGAGATTCTACAGCTGTGAAAGTCCACGTGAGCTGTCCTCTTCCTTCCTCCATGTCTGCCTGTAGCCTGCGTTATCTGTTTAGCAAACTACATTATTGTTTTCTGAGGATGACAAGTCACTGCTAAAAGGCAAGACACTATCTTATGTCTCTTATCTGCTTCCCAGACCTAAAGTTAGAATTCCATTGATGCCAATATTTGGTATGGGCCATTGTTCTGAGTAGATCTGTGACTGTGCACAAGAAGGCATCACTGGCTGGAACCCCAACCTGAAAGGGCATGGTGCAAGCAGTTAGGTTGATCCTACTCTTGCAAACCCACCTAGAAAGAACAGGCATTTTCCACAGAATGTGCCACAAAAGATTTCAAAGAATGGTTAAAAGCATTGCAGTGCTAAGAATCGAGACAGGTGCCTCCAGGAAACCTAGCACCTTGGTTCAGCGTAGAGCCACCATGAACTCAGTAATTACAATGTGGCTCAAGCTACTATGTGCAGTATAAAAAGATTATGTATAAAAGATACCACCCTAAGAAATCCTGGCTTCGCATCTTTCTGGATCATCATAGCTCCAACATCTCTCACACTACCTATGTGCAGGACAGATGTGTGTGAGTTAAATGGGGTTAAGCAGAAAAACTAAAGGGTAATAATTTAACTCTGCAATGAGGACACAGTCCAAGGTGATGTGCAAGGCCTAATGCAGGTTTTATCACTGGTATCCAGATTCTGTTTCCCATTCAACAAGTGGCCTTTCTAATACAACTTTCTGCAGAAAATATTACTGGCATCAATATATTCTAGCATGCATTTGGTATAACTTCCCTGCAGTTGTGAATAATACAACGTGCTATTGTTCCCTATCAACCTTGGTACAACTACTGTAGTATTGTTTTTTGAATTGGAACAAGTTGCTACCATTCATGTAGGAGAGTGTGTTTTATGGCTCTTTGGTTAGCACTACTTTCTCCTGTGGTTCCCTAATCGCTGATATAAATTGTCATGATATTGGCAAGTTAATACATACCTTTCTTTTATGTCCTTCCTTAAGTACATGCTGGCAGCGTGGGGGTGTCAAACATACAACTTCAAGGGACTCCTGGAGGAGCTGGAAATTTGGAGGCAGGATGACCAGTGGCAGTGATTCAACACAGGGTTCACATCACCACTGGGAATCATACATGAAATAACATTTGAACCATAAAGGCTAAACTGAGCCAGCTTCACACCAACTGAGCATCCCAGTTTTCTTTGAAGACTGCTGCCTGATGTTACAGAATTGCTGTTCTCATGTAAAAAAATGTTTTAGTTTATTAAATTAATTCTGAGGCCTTATGGACTAAGACAGCTAGCTATATCTCCAGACAGCTTGAAATCATGTCTCTAACCAAAATGGGGATTCATTGCCATTCTTGTGGTAAAAAAAATCTGTCTGGATTTACGTTTCTGCGTAAACACACTTACCTTATTAGGGGCAACTCATGTAGATCTCTATTTAAAGGACTATTTATATGCAAAGCTGGAAAGAATAATATTCTAGGAGAAAATCAGAGCCATGACTTCAAGTATATCTTTTCTTTGAAGGTAATTAAGTTTTAGGTACTTTCAGACTGAGGGGAACAAACAATTTAAAAATATGCTAATTATGGAGTTCTTGGCCCTTCCTCTAAAATATCAGGCACCAGTCACTCCTAGGAACAGCACTCTGGAGTATCTTGAATACTGATTCTGTCTGCTACTGCAATTCCTATGTTCCTTTGACTGCACTTGACTTTGCCTATCTTGTGTGATCACATACTGAACTACGTGTTTTTCACGATATGCCCTAAATGTACTTGTTATCAGCATAGGTAATTTCTGCTGTGGTTTTCACACTTTGTCTAACTCACATGGAGGACTTTTATTTCCACAGATTAGAAAAAACCTGTTAAAAGCAATAATGGGTCTGTCTTTATGTGTGCCCACACTGGCTTCCCTAATCAGTTGTCAGACAGTTCCGAGACAAAACAAAGTGCTATATATATCAATTTATTTTTAAATCTGTTTGGGTGCTCTTGTAACAAGCTGGCTTTGTAAGGTAGGAGAATTTTAAATTCAAAGAGCTTTCCTTCTTTTTCCCTATTTCTTGGGTTGAGACTCAGACAGAGGCAGTAAGTTAAGCATGTCATGTCCTTAAGCTTTCCTCATTCCTTGCCCCACATCTGAAATAAAAAAGTGGTAAAGGCAGCCCCTAGGAAACTGGTATAAATTAAAATTAGAAAGAGTATTTGTATCTCTCCCAATAATTATCTGGGTGTCTCCATGAATGCAATGTCCTTGGGCCAGCTATCTAGCAATGCAGAGTTGGAGTGTAAGTGGCAGTGAGAACAGTGGTGAGAGGAGATAGGGAACTGATTTTGGATAGCATTGCATATCCAAATTAATATCTCAAGCTGAGGGCTGGCAGCTGGGGACTGACTACACCTCCTGGGGGGTTTCTGTATCCTTTGCAAAAGAAGGAAGGGATGATCTTGCCATCCTGCTAAGAGGATAAATCTTAGCTGTTTTTTGTTTTGTTTGATTTTAAATTAGGTTACCAGCTAAGTAGGGAACAGCAGGGTCGCTCTCCCAGAAGCAAAGTAGCTTGGAGACCATGTGGTGGACTATTGTGTGCAGTTCTTAGTTTTCATCAAGTGATGATGGCTAGTTCTGAAGAGTGGGTTACAGTAAGACCTTAGGCAGGGGAAAATTTGAGGAGTGTGGCTGAAGAATTATAAATGTGGGAAGTAACTAGGAGGAAGAGCAGTGCCCTATCTAAAAG